CCGTACCCCCGAGCCCCCTTGCAAAGTCATTTATCAGCCCTGGGGGAGCGCTGACGTCCTGTCCCAGCCGGCAGCAGGGGCATCTCTGGGTGGGGACCCGCAGGGCCACTCTGCCCGCCTGCGCCAGGGCCGGCTCGCGGCGTGAACCCCTGGGGTGCAGTGGGGCGCAGGCCCCGCCCCTGCGCAGCCATCCAGGTTGCGCCGCGGCCGCCGACCGTGAGCAGCAGCGACACCTGGTGGTCAAGGCGCGCGCGGGCTCGGCCACCGTCGGCGGGGACAGGTCAGGAGCGGCGGCCAGGCCCTGCGGCCAGCCAGGCCCTGCTCCTGCCCGCAGCGGGGGGCCGCCCGCGGGCGCTGGGTCTCAGCACCTCCCGCCTTGTTTCAGCATCCACTAGCCCCCTCTCCAGGCTTCCTGTCCTGGCCGGGGCTGGGGCGCGGCCCCCCCAGTCACAGCCTGACCCCCCGGGGCGCGCCTCGCTGTCCCTGGTGACGGGCATCAGTCCGGCAGGATTTTCTCTTTCTTTCTTTTTAAGGCCGTATGCACTGATGCACACAGAGCTGGGGTGCAGGCCAGAGGGGTGGGGGTGACAGGACTCCCCAGAGGCAGAGCGGGGAGCAGGGCAGGCCGATCGACGAAGCCCACGGCTGAGGGGAGCAGCGGGGCCAGGGGGGGGTCTGACCCTCCCCCCCTGCGGGGATAGAACTCGCTCCAACCCGCTGGCCAGCGGGGGGCCCCCAGGGAGGGTTTTCTGTGATCCGTTTGTAGAAATGGTCAGTGCAGTGGAGATCTCTGTACCCCAAGTTTTCTCCCCCCCCCACTGCTGCTCACAGGCAATGGGGGTGCCCTGGGCTGCTGGGAGGGAGTGGGGGGCCTTCCCCCAAGCCCCTAGCCCCTGGCACGGCCCCCTCCGGAAAGTGGCCTGCGGGCCAAGGTCACCGGCACTCAGGGAGCCGAGGTCAGCGCGGGCGGGTCACTGCCCGGCCGGCTCCTGACTCACTGCGTTTCCGGAGCCTCAGGGAAGGGGCTGGTGGGCCCTGTGGGCCCAGAGAGGCAGGACAGCAGGACCCGATGGTCACCGGGGAGTTGAGTGGCCCAGCCGAGGCGAGGCGT